TATCCCTCATTATTCTTCCGAAGTTTCTAGAGGTAAACTTGCTGGAGTGGGGAGCACGCACGACATTAGTCAGGTCGAATATCAGGTTTTACATGGCAGTAGAAGAAAATTGAAAGCGAATCCACATTGTCCCTATTTTAAGCTCATACTGTTTAAAGCAGTGGACTTCATATGAACCGCATAAACGTTCTTTATTTTGTCACGTCGTTAAGTTTAAAGACTTCGCTTAAAGCTTCATTTGATTTTACATTTGATTGCAATCATATTAGGTTTGATCACAAACAGCTTCTAGCAGGGGTGGAGCAAGTGGGTGATAGGCAGTGTCGACCCTCAATCCTCAATTTTTAATTTTTTATTACTTTAATTATAAATTTTGATATATAATATAATTATTTTTTAATTTTTTGATGTAAAATTTTAAATTCATCACTAACTTCTACCCACTTGCATATACCTGTTGAGAGAGAGACTTGATGACGGGGAAGAATGAAATATTAACCTAAGGGCAGTTTTATCATTTATGGTGGAAGACTGTGAAATGAGGACAAGGGCAGGGGAGTGCATACAGTATTCTACAAGCTGCATTTGCTGCTAGAAAGATACATTCGGATTCAATTCTACAAGCCACAAAGGTACAATTTGTATGAGAAGGCTCTAATGCTCTCCATCAAAATGACGTATTGAAAGAAGGCGCTAATGCTATCATCCAAAATTAGGTTGTCATCTGCCAAAACTTGGGAACAATGAATGAAAACTAAACTTTGTGACAGTCAAACATACTCTTCTGGCCTCCCATTGGTGGAAAAGGGGACTTCAGTAAGTCTTTTTTCTCACAACCGGTTTCCGCACTTCTTTTTTCGCAGTTGTCATAAAACCTGGTGTTGGTATTCCCGTAGCGGCTTGGTATATGTCCTTTAGTCTTTATGAATAGGTATACAACAAAGGAGAACATTATAATCAGAGTTTATCCATAAGAATGTGAGATCTTGAAGAACATTATAAACAAAGAAGCATGTTCGAGTTACCTTGGAATGCTGAGAAAGAGAGTAATCACTGAAACTCCGACGATTAGGGGGAATACTGGAGCAGGAGTTAATTCCTGTAGGTATGTCAGAGAAGTAAGAAATTAACAAGGAGTAAAAAGCGCAAAAAAAATTTAGGACAGCAAGAATACATAATATGCCACGGATTAACCATCATGATAATACTTCAAAGAAAGAAAGGTGGACTGCATAAACCTAAGGTCACTACTGTTCTACATAGATGAATAATTGTTTGGAAAAATGAAAATTATGCATTGAAATCAAACAAACCTGTTTGTGATGATCCTCCTCCACCCTGTATCTGAGGGGACCCACATGAATTTGGGCATTCTTCTCTAGGTCAACCTCAATAATCTCAGACTCAAATTTATGAGTGCTTGAAGGGAGATTGGATTTGAGCTGCAAGATATGTTTGCCTCTAGGCAAGTCCTTGACCTGGAAGAAGTTGGACAATGGCAGTTGGAAGACAGACTCAATTTTAGACGTGTCACCAGCTGACTTAATTTCTACCAATAAATGAGAATTATGTAGTTCCCCAATCCTATTTACTTCAACATGGCCACTTAAGATAGTCATTTCTGGCTGCTCAAAGACCAAAAAGTCCAATCCCTTGATATCCTTGTTTCCAACCTGACAATTGACAAATCAACCACATACAAATCAGACTTCAATCTTAGTAGCCCTATGGCTATATAGAGATAATTCTCTCTTAAAGACTCGGGGTGTTTTGAATTTGAAGAAGCTTCACCTAGTTTATCAGGAATTATACAACCTTACCATCCATAGAACCCACAACAGCAAATTGCATCAATGTCAGTCAAAGATAGTTACAAAACTTCACACAAATAATGGCAGTAGGGTCTTAAAACAGCTAAAGCACAGCAGAAACCCAAAAAAAGGGGGAAAAAATTCTAGCAAATAGAACTGACCTTTACAGCTACTGATTCAGGAGATGCACGCTCAATTTTAGCACTACCCAAGCCATCCTTCTGCACAACTTTGATTGAATATGTTGTGTCAGGAACAAGCCCTCGCAGACGATACCTTCCAGATGAATCAGTCACTGTCTCCTCATAGTAGCCTTTTGACTCTGAACGGGCCTCAATTGAAACCCCTTCTTTTGGTTGGCCAGACAGCAGAGTCACCGAACCCATTGCACTGTGGAGATATTAAACAACCTTAAAACCACACAAAGTACTTTGATTCTGACCTAAGCAAGACATTTGCAAGAAGTCATACATACTAAATTTAGCAGTTGAGTAGCAGGGATTGTTTGCAACTTCATAAAAATTTTCATAGAAAGTAAGTTTCATGCAAGGGAATCTTAAAGAACTCATGGCAACATCATTAAACTTTCAATATAAAGTTTGATACACAACCCAGGCTGCTAATACTTAGTGAGATATGATGCAAGATCAGAAGTTCAAATTGTAACTTAACTGAAAAACAGTGTTAGAAAAAAAAATGAATAACACATATTTGAATTAAGTTACCTTAAAATTCTAGAACTAAAAATTTAAGGTATTTTAATGTAAACCAGGCCTGGAAATAAACTTATCATTGATAGTGTCATGGAAGTATGCTCTCAACTGTTTACAGTAACAAATAGACAACCAAGGGAGAGTGAAAACAGAAAGAAAACCTGTAGGCAACACGTGTGGCATGGAAAACAACTTCTCTAGATTCTCCAGAATCAAGTTCTATTGCCTGCGCTGAAGGTGAGAAAGCATACTCCTACAAGAGAAGTCATTGGTTGAAGTAATTAATCATTAACCTAGATTCAGCACATAAACAAAAACTTTATGCAGGTCTTCTTCAAGAAAGCAGGTTTAATTATGTTGCACCATTAGTTTTATTTAATATTTAGTGGAGTAATTAATTCAAACCAGACTAGTTTTAAAACTCCTTTTGCTGTGTTTCTGTTTTTATACAAGTCAATATGGTCTTGATTATTATGCCTGACTCAACATCAACTCCAATAACCAAATGCCTGGTTTCCTATTGCAGCTTCATCTAACGTTAACAATTGTACATTCAAATCTGAAGAAAGAGGAAAAGTTACCTTTAGCAGAGGCCGCAGATAGAAGCTTCCAGGAAATAAATTCTCAAAGACGAAGATTCCACCAGGCCCTGATATTGAGTTGTTCCTATACCCATCATCCCCACTCAATGACAACAGAAGAGGAGGGATAGGTTCATTGGCATCGTCCTTGGAATATATTGTCACAGATATTTGACTAAGCTTCTGACAAGAAAAAGCATACGGGCCTACTTGTTTAAGATGAAAGCCAGGCTGCACCAAATAAGAGAGACATCGGGGAATACCACAATCAGTTGCACAAAAAGGAAAAAAAGAACAGGAGTTACACACTGAAGAAGATCAACAGCTCAGCTAAATAGATCCCTATCTTTAGTATTTCAATCATGCTGAAACTGTAATTGGAAACTGTATATTAACTATGGTTCCATGACTCTTCAGATCTAGGAGCATTTGTCACATGAGAAGGGTGAAAAACAACAGCTTAGCTTTGAGCTTATTTTCACAGAAATTCAACTAAAGGCACCCAAGGATCTAAATGCTAGAAACTCACATCACCAGGTTCCAACTTCTATGTATCACATGCCTTTTCTATTTATCAGTAGTAATCACAAGAGTGCAGGCTGGTAGCAGTTCACAACTACTGGATTTACTACCTCCATAAAGCATGCTTCTCTCCTCTACCATTAAAATGGTTTAGACATTCAAAGTACATTTCATGATCACTATCTAACACTTTGCTAATTAAAACTCCATTGCCAGCAATGGTTTTAGCTCTTCCTTCAATAAAAGAACTCCCCTACTCAAATAATCAATTGTTTCCAAGAGTTAAAAAGTTAATTTATTGAGAATAAACAGGAAACTATAGGAAAACTGTATATCATATGATTGCATATGCATTACATATTCATATTAGGCCAGAAGACTACCAACACAGCCCGTGTATCCCCACAATTTTGAAGACAAAAGCTGTTCAAATATCAGTCAATAACAAGAAAATCGTCATGTTCCAAAAAAAAAGATTAATGTTTCGAGTATCAATAAAATGACTAACAATATTGAAGCTAAATAAAAATTGGTAAAAGAATGTGAACTTGATATTTATAAGAGACGCTAAGGTATACAAAAGGCACCAAGAGTATGTTAGATGTCAAATTTGAAGAGGGGATGCAAACGTATTGCTTTAAGTTGATGTTAAAATTCCATACCTTTGAAGCCTTGATATCATAAGTTACATCATCATATAGAGGTCCTGCAACAAAAGAACCATCTTCCTCTGTGGCTGTTTCAAGCACAAGGTCTCCTTTCTTGACCGGAGAAATGCTACCATCCTCACCAGCATTAACCCTTACATGAACACCGGAAATAGGGGGAGAAACTGTTCCCTCCAAGTATAACCCTGGTCGACCAGAGAAGGGGGGCACTGAAGCTTGGCAACCATCATTTGTCACCGAAACCTAAGAAAACAGAGTAAAGAATTCATCCATATGAAGATAGTTTAAACATTGCAGAGAACTTTCCTATGTAAGTTTCTTCATTTGATGCTTACATGGTGTAGTCTAGGATAAAACAAAATCTTTTTTTCTCCATTATTCCTGCAATAAATCACAATTTTTAGTAAAGAGTATGAATGGTGCACCAGCAGTCACATAGAAAGAGATTGAACAAAGGTGTCATTGTAAGTTACAATGCTTCTAATGGAAGATAATTCGTGATTAATCACCCTTTTCTTTTTTCAAATGACAATGAGATTTAAGGATGATAGTCAATTTTAAGAGCTACTTCATTTCAATCGCATTACATGGAATATAACCGTATATCTATAAAATTCATATCATCTATCAAATGCATTTACCAATAACTGTATTACATCTTTATAAAATTCTGATTGCATTGAATACAACATTATATCACCTATCAAATGCATTTACCAATAACTCTATTACATCTTTAGAAAATTCTGATTTTCAACACCATTAAGACACGGTCAAAATAGTGAACATTTGTGTAAGATCATCAATCAACATTGTAGATTAGAATTGTTGGCAAAAATAAAACCATAGAGCTCATGGACACATATAAAAAGGATGAATAAGGCTGAAGGAAGTAATAAACTCAATGCATTGCTGCCTTCCTACAGATCACCATAAAAGTACTAATTCAGGCATGTATCCACACACAAGAAAGGTTAACCATGTCCTTTCTTCAAGGAACTAATGAGAAAATGAAAAATTAAAATAATTACTCAAGTAACTTAACTAAATCTCAATTGGAAATAAAATCTCATAGTTCCGGATCTTACACATAATTATCAATATTTACAGAAAAATATCAAATTGCAAAAAGGAGAAAAAAGATGTAAAATTTCATGTCACAGTGATTAAATTACTTTAGGAGATAAAATTGTTTAGCAAGGTCAAACCATGTGAACAAGCAAAAATGACATAATAGAGCAGACTGAACTTTATAGGAAACACACGCATTCACAAGCAAAAAGACATTCCAATCAGTTTTTTTAAAGAGAGGAGATGATCATGATTGCTTTTAGATTTTCTATAACGCAGATTGTTTGTGCTTTTCAGCCATAGAAAAATGTAAATGTACAATTGATACAAATGAATTAAGAAATACCTAGGGTCCCTAGGAAGAAAAGTAAGCTTTTCTCCAAGATTAGCCCACACAGAATACTCGTATACAGCAGTCCTTATTTGATCATTTACACTGGATGCAAGGTTGGCATTTGTGCTATGCATAACCATGCCTTCACCATTCAGAATGTCCACAACTATACTCACAGGCAATTCATCAGATGAACTTGAATTGGCGTTGATTTGTCCTCCAAGGAGATACTTCTCTCCTTTCAAATAGATGGGCTACAGGAATGAAACAATGAAGCCAATAAGAAGTTAATATATTAAGAAAAGAATTGTAAATTCAATGTCAAAAAGAAACAAAAATTATAATACTTTACCAATGGGTTAGATGTATCAATCTTTATTGATGAGCTCCCAAAGAAAATACATGAGTTAACAAAGTGAAGTTCATGCACTCCAGGGGATTTGACACAAATAAATTGGGAACTTTTCTGCAGTTGCATAAGAGTGGGTGTTAATTCCTTAAAGAAAAACTCAAGAGTGTCTGCACATAATTATATAAGTTTTTGCTCTGAAATTTGAGGATTTTAATGAACAGAGACCAACCTTAATGTTCAAATTAACAGGTGAACCATCTTGCTGAGTCATTAAAGCATCTACATCATGGGTAGATATAACATTGACCCAATAACCCTTTTGAACAAATTCAATTCCTTTAACATCCTTGGCACCAACATCCACATCAATGAAGCTTTGCTCCCAGCACCAGTTATCTGCCTTGGACACAGCTTCTGGAGAGGAGTGTTTGATCTTAAAAGATGAAAAACCATCACAATATCAGCAGCATTCATATATTTAAACCACATACAAAAATGTTTAAACATATCCAGTAATACAACAAATTTAGGAACAAAGCACCATACCTCAAGCCTGTACTTTCCTGGCAAAACATCAGGAAACAGAAATTGGCTGCTTTGATCTGTCAAACTCACTGTTTTTCTCCCCTCATTACGTTTTCCAGCTAATCTCACAAGGGTAACAGAAACAGAAGCACCACATTTCTCCTTGCAAACTACTCTACCATGGACATTGACTAGAGCCTTAATCATGTGAAGGTGAAAAACAAAGATCAGTGAAAACTATTTAAATAAAACTGATCCATCATAAACACACAAGATCCTTTAAACAATCACCTGCTGTCATCAAACAAATCCATAAATGAAGAAGTAAGAGAACATACTCCAGAGCCTTGTTTGCAGCTTCATTGTACAAATTTGAGAGAACGACAGATAAAGATGGCATAATTCCTTAAAGGAATAACAATATAATCCATACAATCTGCATTTATAAAGTGACTTGAAAACTCTTACAATCTTACTAATCAACCAACTTAATATTCAAGCCCCGCCAAGGGCGGAGCCTCATTTAGCTCTGGGGGTTTTCTAAATTTTTTTTATATTATTTTAAAATTTTTAATATATTCTCTTAATGACCCCCTCAAAATAATTTTTTATTTAATAATTAAAATAAATAAAGAATAACAAAAAATATCTCGCATGCCTCACTTAATATTTAAATTTTTTTATTTCTTTTGTCAATTTATATTATTAATTTTATTTTTTTTATACTATTTGCTCATATTTTTTAAGTTTCTATACATTTGCTTCTCTAAATTTCTAAGAACCATCAACCATATTCTTTTTCTTTTTTTTTTGTTATGTTATATGTGAATTCTATTTTCTACTTATCATATTCGTCTTTTTTCTATCATGTGGATTTTATTTTACATAATTTTAATCTTTAAAAATTAATAAATTATTATGTAATTCTCAAATATAAATTGTAGTGTTGCACTGTTACTTAAAATTTCATCAATGTATCATTTTTTAATTAATCCTGATTATGTAAAAAGAAATTATCTTAAGTATATCTTTTTTATATGCTTTACATTTTATATTTAGTTAAATGAAATTATCTTGAATATACAGTCTTTAAACAGTCTTAATTATATAAGAAGAAATTATTAATCTAGTACATGGTATTTAACTATTTATATTTTATGCATTATAATTTTATATTTAGTATTATAAGTTTAAATAGAAATAAAATAAGAATATTGGATGCTGAATGCATTAATTTTTTTTTTAAAGTTTGATTAAAATATGAGTAGTTTGAAAACAATTGACAAATTCTTTAAAAGAAAAGATGCACATCGTCCAAATAATTCTCCTACACTTAAGCCATCAAGCCTCAATGTTTCAACTCATGAACAAAAGCAATGTGACTCAAAATGTCCAACACTCAATCATAAAGAAATAGATGTTTTTCAGCACATTATCTTTAATTGATGAATTTGAATTCAAAAAATATAATCGAATACAACTTTCTTAAAAAACTATTGTAAGTCTTTCTTTTCTTGATTTACATGTTATATAAAATTATTTTCTATTATCAATCTTTTGATTATTGGTTAAGTTCAATATATTAGTTTTTAAAATTTTTAACCTTTATTCCTTTATCTCTGGCACCCCCAACAAAAGTTGGCTAGCTTTCCCCCTGAGCCCAGCTATGCACCAAGTGAACGAAAACAGAAATCATGGTGGAATCTGAACATCTTAAGAATGCAGGATACAATTTAGGATATATAACTGAAACATGGATACAAGTTTCAATTAGTGGGTAAACCAATCCCAACTTAACTTTTCCACAGAAATGAGAAATTTACCTGTGAAAATTCTACATTAAATAGTGGACTCTTGACCACAAGATCAGTATAAGGAGGTAAGAACAGAAGTTCAGGGGCACTGTCAGGTGTGGCACCCAAAGCAGATAAGCGATATTCTCCTGGTGGAACCTAAAAATTTTTGAAGATTGAAAGAAATATGGCACTCATCAGAAAATGAGAATTAATGCAAGAATGTGTAAAAAACTACCATTGTGCAGAATCCTGCAACACTAAAACTGCCAAACAAGATTTCAGAATCTCTAAATTTCACACCCTAGAAAACAACCTCCTTTAACTCAATCCTCGTCATCATAACGCGCTTTAAAGTTGCGTACCTCAAAGCAGAAATTTCCACTTTCATCTGTCTGTTTCACTTGTGGCTTGACATTCTCTGGTCCATGGGTCAAGGCTACCTAGGATTCAAAACACAATAATAGTAACAATTAGATATGCAGTAAAACAGTAACTGATCAATAAGAAAAGCAATTCGTAAAGTTACCTTCGCCTTGTAACCTGAGTTAATTGTCTGGACTATGCCACAAACATCGTAAGAAACTGCTTTAATGTCTGCAACTGAAGCCATATTCGGCTTAACCTAGACAAAGAGCAACAGAGGAAAGGTCACATAATGCATTGCAGAATCAACTAAGTTATAACAGTTCTCCATGCTGATACGCAAAAAACTATTGCGCCATAGAAACATAAAGAAAGGATGGATGCCACATCAAAGATTCAAGAAAAGAATGTAAGATTTATATCATATACTTTACCAAGTAATCCTTTAACTTGTTGAACTTGTAATGCTCCTTTAAGCCCTCTATTGTATAGCGATTTGATGTAACCTACAGCAATCACCATAGCAACTTTAACAGGGAGAATATTATAGGCAAAAAAAGTGTCAAATGCTAATAGTTAAATTTACTATGTCTCAGCAACTACGTTAAGAAATTTTCTAAACACACCAAACTTTAACAAGGAAAGAAGAAATTGGAGAAACAAAGTAAAAACAAACCAGCTGCCCATGAGAACTATGGTGCATGTCTCACACTATGCCACTAGTGTGAAGAATGGTTTGGTCCAACTTCCATTCTCAACTTTCCAGAATTAAAAAAAGATGATAAGCTAAAATCCTCAATTAACCAAAATAAAATGCGATATCTGTGATTGACAAATTTTGTGAAGAGGTTAGATCCTATAAGCCATTAGGATCTACACTTTAATAGAATGTTATTGAGTAAAAGAACATTCAGTAAATTAAATAATAGACAGATTAACAAAGACACAGATCTCATGACAGATAATGGTCTACTACTGGCCTAAGTTTACTTTAATGAATGAAATCACTAAGTGTTCAACCATATTAAGAGAACAGGAAGGTCAATATTTGGCAATTGACAGATAATGCAATCATATCTAACAAGTAACAAGAAATAACCCACAAACTTGGTAATTGAGAGCAATTGTCCAACCATACCTGGTCAAGCTTGTAATAACCTTCTTTATCGGTGATAGACCTTTCTTGACCATCAACTAAAATTTTAACACCCTCCACCCCAATGTCATTTGTATCAATAACACGTCCCCCAACAGAGAAACCAGTAACCTATATGTATACAGAAAGAAAGCAGATAGTCCAGTTAAATGTTTGCATCACGAAAAAGGCAACACAAAACATGGCACTGCTGTATATGCTATAAATAAACTGAAGAAAATCAAAGTTGATATACTTTCAAAGAAATATTCCACAATGAAAAGGACCGGAACGAGAAGGTGTCAAACTTCATTTTGTGACCTAAGGAATTGCTTTGAGGCCTGGGAATAAAGAAGAAGGCTCACAGAAAGGATACACTTCTCATACAGCCAAAGTCATGTTGATTATGTTTCGTATTCACATTCATCAATCACAAGAATTGTGCAAAGTAGTAGACAAGTATGAACAGTTGTTCTACAATGTACACACTCACACACACATATATATGTATATGTATATGTATATGTAGGAAAAAGCACAGGCTGTGAGGCTGGATGCCATATACAACTAAAAGAGCACCTTAACAAGACATGAGGATGGAGTTTTATATCTTACCCAAAATTTTTATAACAAAAAATGAAAAGTAAAATAAAATCTTGAAGAACAGGATCATAAAACCACATCAAGAGAAAATACTTGTGGTAATTACCATGTTGGCGACAAAAGCATCATACCTCAAACTTTTGGGGAACTCTTACATGTTGATGCTCAACTGACACTGACACAACAGAAGGTGAGACATCAAATACTGTGTTTTCACCCTTGTAGTATGGTATGAGTTTATAAAGGCCTGCAAGTCAGCCAAAGTGATCAAGCATCAGAATAAATTAAACTTCTATAACAAATGCAAGGCAACATAAGTTCTATTTTTCTCTCTGCTGTTAAGTTCCTTGCATTTATTCAGCTTGAATAAAATATCCTTCATTGAAATATAGATACAGATGTAATTTATTAGGAAGACAAAAAGCTTGATAAGGCAAATCTAAACTGGTGTGTGACTGAAAAGGTCTCTCCGGGGTAAGAATAACAGATTATCTTAATAACCAAAACCTAGGATAATAAACACTAAAAACAGCTACAATGAACAAGAAATAACCACATCCATAGAAATAAGAACTACCAAGGCAATATAACTGAAGCACAACTCTGTCAAACCTAAGCTCAGATTCTATGAGCAAGTCCAGCCATGTCTAGAACACAGACGGATTCTAAAGTTGATATCAGAATTGGTAAATAATAGCATTTTAATGGATGATAGGCATAGGTACTTACTAATAATTATCCCCTACTTTGCCGATTATGTAATCAGCCTTAAATTGGTTTATGAATGTCAAATGAGTGGAAGGTGTGCATCCATGGAAAAATGAATATGTGTCTAGGTCAAACAAACATTTAAATTGGTTTACCACAAGGTACTGATTTGAATGAGAACATCCCATCAGCATCTGATACAGAATGACATAGAGCTTTCCTTTGTCCAGGGGCATTACCAGCACCTTGGGGACAATCTACCTCAACGACATCATCAGAATATAAATATATATGAACTCCCAAGATGGGATTTCCCTGCCAAAAGAATAACATGATTTTCAAAGGGTGGAAGAAACATATAAACCTATGCATTACCGCATTATGCGCATAAGATAGTTAGACCTTCATATCCCGATATGTCTAAACAAAAACAATATAGGAAACTCAACAGTTGTCCTTTAGTACCTGGGCAACCACAGAACCCTGGATGTCGTACCCAGGAACAAAGAAAATGTCTTCAACTACACCATTTTGAAATCCCAGTTCCACCTGCAGGAAGTACATTTCCAAATGGTTAGTATGTAATGCATACTCTTCTCTCTCATGGTATATAGCACACAAGAAATCAAGGAAATATAGAAAACCTCTGTGGAACCTCTAACTTCAATTTTCAAATCAGGATGTGAAGCACGTAATTTGTACTTTCCTGCACCATAAGAAGGATAACATGAAAAGTTAAAAACAGTAAGAGAGAAAGACAGAGAGAGAGAGGTTTCTGTAATACAAATTATTCTGGGAGACAAAGATGTCATGTAAAGTGGGACAGAGGTGTAAGTATGACCAAGTTAACTCTGCACATTATTCTGATAGATGAAAGAAAATTATCTAGTTACTAGCGTTCAGTCAAATTTTGTACAGAAGATAGCTTCTGTTTGCTTAAATTCCACAAAAACCACAAACCATAACAGCATAAATATGAATGAATCAATATAACAAACATAGAAATTCTACAAACATGAAAGTGACATGGAAGCATTCATACCTGGAATGATATTTTTGAACAAGTACCTTCCATTTGACAAAGTTAATTCAGAAGAAATGAGATCATCATCAGGAGATAAAAGCTCCACATTCACATCTGAAGGACCTCCATTTTTAACTGAGCAGCTCTGTCCACCAACAGCTCCTGCAACCCTCCCAGATAGGGTAAATCTGCAACATATAAATATGCAAAGTATTATTGGCATTGACATTCAGAGCACGAGTAGGAATAAAACTTAGATAGCACATAATCTGGACTAAAACAAAAAATGCAAAAAGAAGACATAAGCTATAAAACAAACCCTGTAAACCGAAAATTAATATCTTCATTATTGTTGCAACCAGTGTCATCAATAACAACAGGAACCTACGAAATAGTTTTATTGTAAAAAGTCAGAATAAAAGGTCATTCATCAAGAGAATAAAGAACACAGGCGGTAAGACAATCTTTGCAAGAGTAAAAATGAACCAAACCTTATCTGGGTCCCAAGACCATCCTTCTGGTCCACTGATTTTAATAACAAAAGAACCCTGCAAACAGAAACTCTCCATGATCAGTCAAACCGAGAATTACATGCCCGTGTTGAGTAAGCATGCAGCATACCTCAGCACCAAATATACAAGAGTATGAACATTCATATAGAATCGGGAAAAAACTATTAAAAGAGGTTGCAACCAGTATTAAAAGTTTTAGACAGCAGAACTATTCTTATACCGACATTAGGTTAGAGTAAAATACAGTCTCTGTAATTCTCAACTATGAATTGAAATAATCGATGCCCAGAGTCAGTGTTCCTAAACCGACCTTATCATACACTGGAATGAAGTAGTATCCATTTGGAGCGCACTGAGTTCTTTCCTTTACCAATCCATCTACAGTGCGAAGTTCAACCTACAAATAGGCATAAATTTAAAATATGCATTAACATAATCCTGAAATCAGATAATAAACAGTTAAAATAATCCAAAAAACGAGCTTAAAAATTCGTATTGACGTAACAAATACGCGATGCTGAATCCATACCGTGATATGAGAATAATCTAATTTGGTATCAGTTGCCCTCCTCGATTTGATCAGAGATGAGCTCGCCTACAAAATGACCGATTCGTGATCAGTTTAAATGGCGGCAATAACTCAAATTTTTTCTTAAAAAAAAAAAAGTCAAAATGACCGTTGCATCGCATAAATTTAATGAATCAAGAAAAACGGATATAAAAAATCTCTGTTCGACTAAAGCGAGATGCTCCAAATGAGTTCACCGCCTTGGAACTAACGGCCATCTAAATGTCCAAGAAAGAACCGACTTCAAGATTCAGAAATAGTCTTCTTGAAACTTTGCTTGCATTTCCTGATCAACAAAAAAGTTGTCCAAGGAACAAAAGGAAGTGCTAATGTTCACCTCAACGAAGCCGCCACATCCGTGGACGGAATTGGCGGAGGCGGATGAGATTGAGTAAAATACGATCACGAAGTAAAGTAAAGCGTCACTGATCTTCATCTTCCCACGATTCGATTCTAATTGATTTGTCGAGGCTTTGGAGCCCGACGAGAGTGTTCTGAGAAAGAGAAAAGACTGAGGACAGATCTGGTCCTTGACGTTGGCTTTATACGTCAAATCATTTTATTTCAAATGGCTGGCTTCAGCAGAGGGGAGGGTTTACTGATTTAGAAGAAGAACAACCCAGGCCTCAGATCTGTGTGTGTGTGCCCAAACCAAACCATTTTAGTTGGATCAACCTTAAATGTAAGCCCTACAAAGAAGCCCCAACCATTTTAGTTGGATCAACCTTAAATGTAAGCCCTACAAAGAAGCCCTTTAAGGTTAAATTCTGTAATAAAGTTATTATTTTTTACTTTATTGTAAGATCAATTAATAAAAATCATCATATTTATAAGATTAAATTACATTTATTTATTTAAAATTTATAAAAAAACTGATAAACTAATTCAACTAGTAAACAAAAAATTCTCTTTTTGATGGACTCTTTTTATGCCTTATTAATGAACATCATTTATGTGCATTTCTTTTATTATTGGTTGAAATTTCATATTATAAGTAGCATTATCATTATAATAAATTAAAAGTTAAAATTAAAAATATATAATAATAAAAATAAAAACATATGTAATTTAAAATTGTAACTAAAAAACATAGACATAAAGGTTTTAAAAATTATGATTAAAAATCCTTAACGTAAATTAATAAAAATTGACATAAAAACTCATAAAAGTATAATAACTAAATTTAAAATTTTAACATAAATGAGTAAAAGTTAACATAACAAGTCAATTAAAAAAATTTAATTTTAATAAAAAATAAATATTTAAATTTATATTCTCGAACTTAAATTATTTAACGATATACAAATTTTAATTTTAAAATAATAATAATAATAATAATTCAAAATTGACATAAATAAGCCTTGACGTAAAACTATAAAAA